TTTTTCAATTTTTTATTGGCCAACTTCAATCATGTGAAAATTGAAACATTTCATGTGATTGTCGAGTATAAGCTTCCAGCACCATATATATTTAAAATATTTATTTATTTATTGATTAAAGCTGATATAGAACTCTTAAATTTCTATAAACCTACTTTTATATCCATCTCTGATTGAAATACTCATCAATTTTTTTATTCATAAAATTTTAAAATATTTTATAGAAAATTTCTACTTGTACATAAAGTGTACTTAAATAAGTAATATAGAAACCAACTGATTTCTCAAAATTAAAATTATAAGACAATCTTTTAACTTGTAGCAAAAAAAGTCCCTTTGCCAATTTTGATATAAACTATACCTTGTTCAATTCCAAACTTATACTTAACCTGATTTAATCTTTGTTTGTAAAGGTTTGTTTAATCATCACATTACGCAAATTTTATAATTCAATACTTGTGTATACACTACGTGTAAACTAATAAATTTTCTATTTTATATTATTCGAATTTAATAAACGTGGTTTTCGGCGCTTAGACCTTCAAAAATGTTCAAGCATGTGATTTACAAAAAACCTACTAACCAGTGTCGGAAATCTGTTTTGAAATTTAATTTATGTTCTCGTGAGAACAAATTTATTTATTTAATATTCTTAAAAATATTTTTATGTTCTCAATATCAAAAATTTATGTTCTCATTTTTAAATTTTTTTTTTCGGAAAAATATTGGTAATTTATTCAAATTTTCATTCAAACTTTCTTGTCATTATGTTCAGGAGATTCGTAGATTATTCCGATATAGTTACACAATTGATAACTATTTTTTTTATCTGTTTTATACAACTTATTTTAAAAGCTCAGGTAGCTTAACTTTCTATGAAAAGAGAGTAAAATTTAACAGATGAATTAATACTTTCGACTAATTCTCGTGAAACCCATAACTTGTTTTTTGCAACCTGATTGACCTAGAGATGTGCCATCACGCACTTATCAGTGCGAGGTGTATTCTAACTTGGATAATTATTGACATCCGTTGTGATTTTCATATCATTAGTCATGTAAAAATTAACACCTTGCACTGTTAGGTGCGGCACATCTCCAGATTGGCCAATTTACTAAAATTCAAGATACGATTGATTGATTATCACGTGTAACTATTGTCAATATAATCTCAAATTTTTTTTTTTATAAAGAACATAATTAAAGTAACAGTTCTCAAATCCAAAGATATGAGAACATCACATTTCCGATACTACTGCTAACACCAAATGTTTGGCAATTAGCCTTCCAAATATTTTTCAGTAATTGTCCGACGAATATACTTTGAAAATGTCATTTAGCAAAGATAAAAATAATGATATGTACATGATATAGGTATTATTTATATCGTTATTTATATTAAATTATAATCGAAATAACAAAGTGTTGTTTTGTAAAGATACACAATCACTCATTACCGAAATCATAAACTTATCAAAGCGACCAAATAATCATTCGATCAATTTTCCTAAATTTATGAGAACAGTTATAAAGTACGAATTGCAATATTAAAATTACAAATTTTAACAAACAAAAACACCATTTTCAATGTTAGGACAGACCTATTTTATTCGGTGGTTTACGTTACCCCTCTTTTGACTCTCTTGGGATAATTTTGGCCGGAGCTAATAATGCCAGACAAAATAAGATATAAGAACTGTAAGTGTTCACTTTAGAAGTTAAATAAGTTTTGTAACGATACATATTCTGTAAATTACTGTAATTTCTCTATATTCTCTATGTAAATTTACAAATTAAAAGAAAATAGTGAATTTTAAAGTACGTACAGGATGATTATGAAATGCAAGGTGAAAGTTTTCGTTCAAAAGATGAATTTGATTGGAGAAAATTATTAAGGTTATTATGGCTGATTAATTCCGAAACCCTCCTCCGAAGCGGTTTCCTATACTGGCAATTATATTTTCTAATCTCACAAAATTCAGCAATTATTAAATTTCAATAATAGTTATTTTTCGGAAGCCTTGTCCGTAAAATTTCTGCAAGCGGACTTTTGTACTTGATCGATTTTTCGAAGGACGTTAAGGCGAAGATAAATTATAGATAATAGTTAAAAATAAACGACCAAATGCACAAAATGCACAAAAAAAAAAACCAAATGTTTCATACTCTTAATAGTTTCTATATCGAGTTGGGCAACTTGTTATCAACTTCTATAGGTTTTATATTTACTTTTTAATAGTATTTGATAATAGTAATTAGTCATAGCATAATTTTGATACATTTAATGTAAAAATTAATAAATAGAATGATATATTGTTATTATTTCACAATTTTGGTTAAATCATAAACAAATTTCCTTTTCCTGCATAAAGTATTCTGAATTCGACAAAAAGATTTCTATTGTGATTTGGCATTAAATCGACAAGGTATTTAATTTTTTTTTGATGCTTTTTTTTGTCTATATAGAAATGCATTAACAGAAAGAAATACATACATACCATGATCGTGTTGAAACAATCAACATACGTACGTAGCTTGTTGAATAAATCGATGTTAACATGTTGGACAAAGTATGTCCCTGGTTTTAACACGACACAATGTCACGCAATTGTCAAATAAGTTATGATATAATTTATGAAAAAGAGGCCAGTAAAAATTTGGAAAAGATCAGAAATTAAATAAATTTAATTTGTTATTTAATCTGGTATGTATTTAGTTTCAATCATAGTTACTAAAATTATTAATGATCGCCAATTTCGATTATCTAATATTTTCCGTATAAGAATAAATTTTGCTTCTTTTCTCACTGCTTTGAAATAATTTGTTTAAAAAAATGGCTTGCTTATTCTTTTTTTATTTTATAGCTTTAGTAATGCTTAGTCTTGTTGAATTTACATGCTCTTTAAATGGATTTGGCGGCGGGACTGGCTTCCAATCGCTTTATATTGGTAGTACTAATAAATTATACTATTTTGGACCTGGATCTCAATATTTTTCTATAGATTTAACAGGAGTATCATTAGATGGAAATAGCGTTATTAGTTCATCTCAATGGATTCAATTTAATTTTACAAGTTTCCGTTTTAACACAATGTCATTCTTAGGTGTAAAAACAAACAATAAAATTTACTTTCCAACTGATTCTGATGGATTTATTGACACATATGACACCACATTAAATAAATGGGATATGAATATAAGTTTTACAGGAAGACCCAGTCTACACTTTGAGTCATTTCGCGCTTGGACCTCTGATGAAAGTACAGGAAAAGCATACTCGATTCAAGAAACTCTCATAGATATTTTTGATACAATCAATTTGGTGTGGACAAATAGTTCATTAATTCCACAGATAGATTCAATTTATGTTGGTTCAGATTTAAATGGTCCTCCTCAAACTTTGGTGAACAGCCAGCTTTTATATTTTGGTCAACCTTCTGGAATTTTGGGAGCCGAAATAAAGTTAATGACCAGCATACTAGCATACAATAGCTTAACTGATTCATGGCAACTTATTGTAAAAATCTTTTAATATATTATTTAGCAATTAATTATATTAAATAACTGTTAAGTAATGAATTGTTATGCTTAAATCTATAGAACACTACAGGCAAAGTCCCAAGTGTACGAAGTGATCATACAGTTGTCTCGAGTAAGTATTGGCAAATTTAATTATAATAATAATAATAATAATAATAATAATAAATGTTAATATATATAACTTTTTATTGTTGATTTTAGTTTCAGATGGACGTATTATTATGTATGGTGGAATTACCAATAATACAGCAGCTAGCCCATCTATAGTAGTCTTGAACTTTTCTAATTATGAATGGACAGTGCCAAATGAGATAAATTCTATTGGATCACTTACTGGACATACGTCAACCATAATTAAAAATTATATGATTACAGCATTCGGTAATTATAATTTTATATATTTATATATTGTATATATATAATCAGTAACATTAGCTATTTTGATTTTTTTTTGAATTTTAAAGGTAAAAACATGACGGAAAGAGACCTTCTTAAACAATCTAGTAAAAGCATTTATAAATTGGATATATCAGATCCATTAAATTATAAATGGTCATTATTATCTACTTTCACTACACCGACATTCAGCACACCAACGAGTAAGATACCATCATCATATAAAGGCTCTTCTGCTGATAATAATACACCAAATAATGGTTTATTTATTGGAATTGGCGTTCTACAAATGATGGTTTATTTATTGGAATTGATGTTCTTATAGGTGTAATAGGAATTTTGTCTTTTTCCGATTTTTGTATTATAATAATTTCAAAAAAATAGTCAAGAAAATCACTCTATAACATCTGGTACTATGCATTATAAAAATAATGAAAAATATATTGCAACACCTGGCACTATGCAAATATGAATAGTTATTAAAAAGTTAATTTTTCTTCCCTAAACCGTTATTTCACCTAGAGTTGTTTTCTTCTTAATATATTGTGAGCCCGATTTTTGGGGTCACGGGTGCCCGAATCGGGGTGACGATCCTTACCCGATCCAAGGTCACGC